TCAGTGTCTATTGCAAGTACAGAGATAAAATTGTACCTACGTAATTATATACTAGTCCTAAAGCAGTATGCCAAATTTCATAGATAAAGCTTCAGTAGATCCTGAAATATAACCCTGTGAAAATAGCTAATTTTGGCACTCACTCACTGACAGGTAATCAAAACCTTTATATAGGCGCTCAGCTCAGCACAATAAAATACATAATAATGAAATATTAATAATTAATAATATGAGTACATCTATCAATCGGTGATAAATGAAAATAAAAAATAAATATAGTTTAAAAAAAACTAAAAAACACGCTCCAATGATGAAAGAAACCGCGTGGAAACTAATTTAACCTTTACAACCTTGGAAATCAATTTAATTTAAATTGTTTAAAATAAACAATAAATGGTATTATTGAAAAAAAAGCGTGGGGCGCTTCTCAAGAAGTGATATATGAAGCTCATCACGCTTTTTTTCACAAAAATACCATTTATTGTTTGTTAATTTATTTTTAAATTAATATTATTGTGAAAAAGTGTGGGGCGCTTCTTAAGAACTGATATATATATGTATATAAGGGATATAAAATATTGTCATGTATACATAATGCACACTGTATAACTTAATTAAATATTGCTTACCTAAAAAATCAGGTTTCTATTGTTATAAATTACTTTCGATAGATGGCGCTAGCGGTATAATGAATCGCGATATTGTTTTGTCTGCAATATATATGAATGAAAGTCGATAAGGAATCGATGGTCATTTCTTTCTATTTCTTTCTACACTTATGTCTTGATATCTTATATATGGTTACGATTACGATTAAATGGATCACTGATTTGACTTGCTAAAGGATTAATTTTGATATTGCTTATTGATTGATTACTTGTGTGTGTCAAAAGCACAAATTCACTCTATTTCTTTTCTACTATTCATTTACCAACGATGGAAATTGTACATCTTTCGGTGGTAGGCGGAGATATACCACATATGGTAATTCCTATGCCATCAGATGGTAGCTGTATGTTTCATGCTGTAAGTTATGCTTTGTACGGCTGTATAGTACGATTGTATGTACGATTTCTTGAAAAAAAGTATTGAAATCTCACCAAAAACATGCCTGTTAAAAAGGGGGCCAAGTTCCAATCGGCTAATTGTTTGCCTAAAAAAGGGGTGAAATCCAATCTAATGCCAAGTTTAGATGCACTTTGAAATCGATCATAATCATCTTCATCAACAGCATGATCCACTGGTAAACATTTGCCATTCCCAAGACTCGCCACCACACCCAGTCCTCTGCCTTCCACATCCAGCCACTACCCGCCACCTTATTCACGTCAACGGTCCATCTGACCGAAATTCACTTTACCATACACCCAACTTAAAATATGGTATAGTTGTGAAAATACGTAGGTGCTTGGTTAAAAATATCTAAAATTATAATACTTCTAAATTTGAACTTGGCAGGTTAATTTAATTATTTAAATTATATAATATTTAAATTATATAAATATAAATAATTATATAACTAAATAATAAATTAATGATACAATTAATTAAGTGTTACGTACAGCACAAAAACCTGCCAAGTTGAAATTGAGAAGTATTATAATTTTAGATATTTTTAACCAAGCACCTACGTATTTTCACAACTATACCATATTTTAAGTTGGGTGTATGGTAAAGTGAATTTCGGTCAGATGGACTGTTGACGTGAATAAGGTGGCGGGTAGTGGCTGGATGTGGAAGGCAGAGGACTGGGTGTGGTGGCGAGTCTTAGGAATGGCAAATGTTTACCAGTGGATCATGCTGTTGATGAAGATGATTATGATCGATTTCAAAGTGCATCTAAACTTGGCATTAGATTGGATTTCACCCCTTTTTTAGGCAAACAATTAGCCGATTGGAACTTGGCCCCTTTTTAACAGGCATGTTTTTGGTGAGATAATGTCTTTAACTTAGCTTTTTAATTTAATAATTTCCTTTCTTATCTATGGCACGAGGGTATCGCCAATATTTTTCAACCCATAAAGGGGTCGCGATATCAAAAAGATGGAAACTTTGCTTGACAACAACCGTGATCACGGACAGACGAGATGAAACACGAGATTTCATTCAAACATCGGGATAACGTAGATACAAAATAAGAAAAAACATGTATTACATATCCGAAATGTTTTGATAAATTTTAAACACAAAAATCAGTTTTTAGTTAGTTACCATTGTTTTAATAATTTTAAATAGAATGCAAAATCTGAGCAAGAGATCTGAAATCAATCGCTCATAGAATGTAGTAACTTTATAGTAACAATTCATTTCTATTTCCGATACTTATTATACAAATATTAAAAATAAGCAAACTCCATACGGTTTTATTAAATCATATTAATATTCTCATTGCTTTAATTTCTTGACGGTACTTATGAGGATATCTATATTTGTATTAATGTTTTTTATCTTTTTTTAACACATGTATATTATTATAATATTTTTCAATGTATAATATGTTGTTCGACAAAAAACATACACTATTTTTCTGTAATTAAATAAATAAAATATGATTTTGTTATTTATATAGAAAATTAAACTATTAGTTACACTCTTGGAAAATATGAAATAGTGACTTTCGTATTTTTTTACCTTTCGTTTTTTCATCTGAAAGTTATATTGAAATTGAAAAGAATAAGTCATTTAAAAATAGCTTATTAGTAATCATTTAGAAATGTCATTATCTTGTTATAATAGTATTGAAATCTTAGACGATTTAATTTACATACTTCCCTTGGAAATAGATCGTTAACTTAAAATATGTAAAAAAAAGTGTGCGTTAAGGTAGGGGTAAAAAATGATATTAATCTTCTATATATATAAAAATGGATTGCTGTTCCTTAGTCTCGCTAAAACTCGAGAACAGCTGAACGGATTTATCTTATCTTAGTCTTGAAATGTTCGTGGAGGTTCAGGGAAGGTATAAAAGCTGAAAAAAATTGATTAATTACTGGGAAAACCTTAAAAACAGCCCTTTTCTATTTCCCATACAAACGTTTTTTTTTTGACATAAGATTTGACAACTAACTAATATGTCAATCACTCTGTCGCACTTCAAAACACGGAGATTTATGGCTTACAGGTAAACTCCAAAAATATAAATAAAAAAACGTAACAGATATTTCTTGATTATAGGGCGATACGAAGTTCGCTAGATCTTCTAGTTTTAAATAAAAATGACTAAAATACAGAAAACACTTATTAGTTACAAAGAGATTAATATTTAATAAGTAATAACAATCTGTCAACATTTATATTTGATAGTGATTAGTGTGTAACATGATCGTGTTCTTGTTGGAAATTTAAAATTACCATTTACCAGGCTTCGTTCCTGGCAACTAGTAAAACGAATTAATAAAATAGTGATATACGAATAAAATAAAATACACAGTCGATATAAAACCTCTTTCTTAATAATATAATATCAAATTTCTCAAATAAGATTCATATTGGAAAGAGAAATTTTTCTCATGTCAGCCAGTCTTAATATGTGTGGGTTTTCGTTTACACTTAACACCTTTTATAACAAGAGACTTGATACGCGATATGAAAATAAAAATGGAATTTCTTGATAATCCATTGTTTATTACTAGCTGAACGCCCCGGTTTTGTTCGTGACATATTCTCTAGTCAATTAATATTGTCGTAGAGTTAAAGAATTTCAGATAAAACTATTATCAAAATTGACAAATTATTACTTTTAAATATACAGGGTGACTGGTGAATTACTATCGATACTTGAGGACGTGATATTTGACGATCATATATGACAAAATAAAAATTAATATAACATAAATATTAATAAACTTCTAAGTAAAGTTCACCAAAAGTTATGTAATTAATTACGCATCGTGTGAACACCCTACAGATTAGGTATACACACACACTCACACATACGCGTGCGGCGGCGTGGTGTTGTATCAGCACGCCGCCGCACGCGTCCACACTTGGAACACTTGGAACGTGTCCACACTTTATTTATTTATACGGAAATTTGGTCAAAAATTAAGTACCAATTTTTTTTACATAATTCGAATGAGAATCATGTACCGAGTATTCTCCTTAAATATTGATAGTAATTCACCAGTCACCCTGTATAAAATAACTTAAGCCATTGATATGTTTAAATTTATTTATTAGGAAAATCTCTTGCAATACCTAGTAAGACTACAATCATTAATAATTTTAAATTCATATGTCCTTTAAGTTACCTTCATCATACCACAGTATAAACATACTTACAGTTTTTAGTGAGATGATGTGAACTCATGGAAAGCATAACTCACTAACAAACTAGTATTCATACGAGTCGAATACATAACCTCCTTTGTTTGAAGTCGGTTAAAATTTAACTTAGATTTTCCTCCATGTATTAACTTTTCCCATGAGTCTTAACGATTCTTGTTAGAATCTTTCTAACGCCGTGTGATTTATTTCCCCCGTTATCTCACTTTACTACCTCATTTAAATAACTGTGTACAAGATTTAACACTTAAGACCTTTATACACGCAATACAGACTATACTCACATATTAAAAAATGTATAATTTCCCCTTAAATGTTTTTTAAGCTGTGCTTTAAATAAGATAAAATAACTTCAATATGTGTTAACAGATTTTCTTTCTTATTGGAAAAGAAAATACTTAAGATTTTAATTTAAAAATAATCACATCAAATTAAGCTGCTTAACATAATAAATAAATATATTTTCATAATATAACAATAAAAATACTATTATGTTAAAAATGTTATTTTTTCAATTTACGGTTTGGCGCGAAAACTTCTGTTAAGTATAGAACATATTAAATATTTTAATTTAAAAATATTTACCAATAACTAAGCTACTTAATGTCATATAAAATAATATTTGCTCATAATAAAGAACTTATTATAATGTAAGAAAAATATGCTCTTTTTTTTTCGTTTTGGCGGGAAAACTTATACGTTTTATATATGTTTACCTGTCAATGTGCACATTCTCCTGCTGTTGATGTCCTGCATGACTTGCAGCATCAGAGTGTTGAGAGCCTTCGCATCACCGGATAGCGATTGTTTTGATAACCATTCAGTTTCCAGCTCCATTGACAACTAATAATATACATACTTCTTAGTTAAAACTCCTTTCACACTTATAAATATATACATAGGTATATGTACAATAAAAATATTCACAATTCTTACTTTAATACATAGCATTTTATTCATATCTGATAACAAGTTATCCTTGACATCTATCATTATTAAATGAATTGTTATGAACATATTTCTATTCATAGCATACAGACTACATTGAATTTATTTACCAACAACTGGATCCAGACGTAGGTATAAAATCATTATTCCAAAGATAATATTGGCTGTATACATTTGTGCAAGTTATTCTATTTTCAAATTCTTTGGCAATAATTTTCATTAGTATAGTATAAATTATTGAACTTACTAGATATTCTGTAAGTTTCTTTACAAGCGGTTCAAGATGCACAGTCCTAGCCCAGGCATCACACACAAAGCAGAGGTTAAAGTAATATGCATTACGGGCATACTTCTTATTGTCTATCCTTACTGGAAAGCCTAAAATTTTGGATCCAAGTAATGTTCTGAAAAAAAAAATGTATAAATTACTAATTTATATTGTCCTTAAAAAAATAATAAACATTTATTACATATCTCTATTCAAAAGCGTGACACAAATCAGTGAATTTCTTATTAATAACAACACTGTTGTAATCTTAAGTCATTACATAAATCAATAAAGCAATAAAGATTAAAAATAGATAGCAATCATTAGCATAATCGACATGTCTTTAGAAAATATTGACGATATTCAGACATAACTAGGCACGTTATAAATAAAATATTTATGAATTATTCAGTATGTAAACAAATACTTACACTGTCAAAGTGCTTCGCTGCAACTGGACTTTTGGAATGATATAGTGACTGACTGTATCGAAAATATCTTTAGAAATGTAGTTTTCAGGCACTTGGCAGGTTATCCTCGGCCCTGCTGTCGGGTGAAATTCACACAAAAATATACACCGTATTGGCCCTTCCTGCCCGCAACCTTCATAATACTTTGAATTTCCATCCATTATGATAACAAACACTATTATTTCCAACCACTAGAACTATTACCGAACATTTGTTATTATATAGAATAAACACGGACGTTTGAAAAGTTACTTGATTTCATCGTAAATTTTATGACTAAAATCAAAACACTCCTTCTTCCTTCACATATCTCAAAACACTGAATAATGAAATTTCAATTGATAGTTTTTTGCCATCAAGAAACTGTCAATGTTAGTTTGCATCATGACGTTGACAGAATAAGGAAAGGTTTTTTGTTTTAGATAAATTAATAGAACAGTGATAATAATTAAATTTAATAAACATGTTTTATATTATAATAACAAAATGTATATAAATAATATTATAAGTTTCTAATTTTTTATGTTGGATATTTAAATACGGTACAAACTACAAGTAGGATATACTTGACCTTTGAAGTAGGAGACTAGGAGTATTGTCACTGTCTTTGTCATATGCTAAACTCATTTTTGTATGTCAACAAATCTCACATATTTTAAATAACTAAGATGCCTAATGATATTATATTTTAACAATGGAGAAGAAATTATTTAACATCATCATCGGTGTAACTGGTAGTGTAGCTACAATAAAGTTACCTTTGTTAATTGAGAGCCTACTCAACATTAACAATGTTGAAAATGGATATAAATTTGAGGTAAACAAGTCATAAAATCCTCCTGTTTTCTGTGTATTTGTGCAACAACAGATGCTAAATTTTTCTCTCTCTAATTTTCAAAAGATACAGGTAATATGTACAGAAAGATCAAAACATTTTTTCAAAATAACTGATATCCCAGAGTGTTGCTCGCTGTTTGACGACGCTGTCGAATGGAGTTCTTGGAATCAAAGAGGGGATCCAGTGCTTCATATTGAACTCGGGAAGTGGGCTGATATGTTAGTAATAGCTCCTCTAGATGCTAATACTTTAGCAAAAATATCACAGGTTAGTTTTGTGTTATATTCCAACACTTTGGCCTACTTTGGATATAAAAACTACACTAATATACAACTTCTTTATCAAAATAATGTTATAACTTTGATATGGTTCATATAATAATTATCATATGACTAATTACAGGGTATCTGTGACAATTTATTAACATGCACAGTGAGGGCTTGGGATGTGTCTAAGCCTCTGTTATTTTGCCCTGCCATGAATACTCTTATGTATAAGCATCCAATAACTGCCACTCAGATTCAGACATTAAAAGGTTGGGGTTACAAAGATATACCACCAATTGAAAAGAAACTTATATGTGGGGATACGGGTATCGGTGCTATGGCAGAAGTAGATACTATAGTACAGAGGATAAAAACTATAGCGCAAGATCATGTTAAAAATAAATAAGACTGATGTTTTTATTATTATATTCTTGATATTGCTGAATTAATACCCAAGTTGTATTTGAATGTTATTTGTTACTGTGTATGTGATGTTATTTAATGGAAATAAATATTGTTATTATAATGACTCTTCTTCTTCTTCTTCTACCTGGCAATTTCCCAGCTATAGCCAGGGTCTGCCTTATATGTTGTGAATAGTTTTTGGCTATTTGTTTTTACGACCGGCCACCTGCCTGACATCAACCCTCTTTTTGGGAAAGAGAAATGACTATCGCAACTTATTTCTTCTTCATTTCTAGTTAGTGCAACTTATTTAACACTACTAGGACAACTGAGAGACGAGGTTAATCCTGTATTGACTTGTGACAAATCCCTACTAATATTATAAATGCGAAAGTAACTCTGTCTGTCTGTCTGTCTGTCTGTCTGTCTGCTACGCTTTCACGCCTAAACCACTGAACTGATTTTAATGAAATTCGGTACAGAGATAGAGTTGACCTTGAGAAAGAACAGGATAGTTTTTATCCCAGACTTTTGAAAGGTTCTCTTGGAAACGCGATATAACCGAACTCCACGCGGCGAAGCTGCGGGCGGAAAGCTAGTATCTATATATCCTGTTAATTTCCGTATAAAAATATTAAATTAAAACAAAGTATAATGTTAATGTTTATTGCATCACTGAATACTGTTTCTAAGCTAGCAAATACATGCAATGAACAAAATCAACTCATGTACACTCGACACCACATAACTATACAATGGAAATGTTAAAACTACTTTGTAATCATGAGAAGATTACAGAAGTGGCAGTATTTGTAATATTCAAAACATTTGTATTTTTAAATATTTAAGCAGTCAAATATTTGACTTTTTCATTACTTCTGGTGACTAATGATGTTAATAATTTCTATATTTTTTTCTTTTCCGTACTATGTTTGTGCCACATCTGTAACCATTCTCAAAATTATAACTAATCAAACATATTCTTTTTAAGAATCATAATGAGAGAATAATATATAGATTACATTATATGAAATAACTTTTAAGCTTTCAACATTTTTTTTTATTGTTTTAAATCAATGCAACCCTGTTATGATGCATGCTTTTTGAATTTCGCAATATTTTAAAACTGAATAAATAAAATTAAAAACTAAGATAAGTGCATACTAAGCACCGATTAAAAGCACTTTGACCTAAACTATAATGATAAAAAATTATTGAAAATCAAACTGAATATTAATACAGATAAATATATTATATTTGAACATTAAATTGTTACATACTATATTGTGAATATCAGGTCAAAATAAAAAAAACAATAATCTATTAAACAAAATCACCTCAAGCTTCTTGAGTTAAGCGAAATTATACAATATTTACAATCAATAAACAGTGAAGAGGAAAATAATATATTTACAAAATGGATTATTTCGAGAATGACTATCAGATCAGTTGTATACGAATATTGAAAATAAATTAATAATTACACAAAACAATAATAAAACGAACATACAGCAGATCTTATTAAAATTAGGTACAGAACAGTCATGATGGCTGTGAGAAAAAAAAAACAATCAATTGTCATTAAAATCTACATTGAAATCTAATGTTGCCATATCAAAATAAAAACAAAATATTATCACAACTGTATGAAATGCTACTATTAAATGCAAAAAATCTAAACTACTCTGTTATTTTAAGACGATACAAAATAAATACTATATACTTATGTATCATTTATAAACATAACTAGTCTATGGTAATACGATTATAAACTTGTAAAAATTACATCGATTATATAAAAAGTCGGTTAAAAAACTGTGCGTATATCGAAGGCCATGTTAACAAACTAGCGATACTAATTTAATATACTCCGTAAATGCTACAGTCCTCTTATATTGGTGCTTCGAACGGCGTGCGCCGAAAACGTGTACAAAAACCGTCAGCTAACAAGCTTTTTGTAAACAAATAGAAAACGCTGTAAAATTGTCTTAGCAAAATATCGTTGTGTGGAATGAATCGTGGGCGTATCAAACGTTTGTCTTTTATATAAATATTGCACTTATCAAAATAGCACTGGACGCTTCGGTCAGTGGTACGGTATAAATACATCACATCTATCGCGTGTGTGTGTGTGTTTGTGTATGTGTGTGTGTGCGTTAGACGACCGTCTCGTTCTGTTTGTCGAACATCGCCCGCGTGTACTTGGATATGACCTCGTAGGTAGTCTTGATGAGTTCACAGCTGCCCTCCACCTCGTAGTCGGAGGGCGCCACCTTGTACGTGGAGGCCCTGGGCTTCTTGTGGTACTCGGTGGGGAAGTCGATGTTGTCCTCTATGTTGTAGATGGCGATCGGTTTCTTGTGGACCATCTCCAAGTCCTTGCGTTTCTTCTTGGCCGTGAAGAAGCCGCACTTGGCGTCTATGGACATCACGGCGTTCTGTACTGAGAAATCCAGCGGTTCGCTGGATGGTTCGTATCATACGTCCAGTTCTTCCAGGCCCTTGGAGAGACGGTGTGAGTTGATCCGGCGTCGGTGTGAGCGTCGGACGGCGTCCGCCCGCCTGTAGGGCTCCGACCGTAGGCCGTGCAGGATGTCCTCTAAGGCACCGTTGTATACTTCGTCCTGATGGAGAAGTTTCTTCTCCACGGCCTGTGATTTCGTTTTCAGTTCGTTTATTACCGCCTCCTGGAAACAGGACACAAACAATTACAGCGAAAAATAGTTTTTACATATGTGGTCACACGTAACAGATAAAGCTGCAGTTATTCGTAACATAGGATTGTTTTTCTCACAAATCGTTTACTATATTTGCTGGTGCCATGTATATGAAGTTACAGTCTACATTTAACATGAAATTACAAAAATAGATACCAGATTAAGCTTAAGACAATTAAAAAGTATGTTTCTAATTCAAACGCCTAATAATGAAAGCCATAGAGTTTATGTTAATAGCGGTTTTTAGGATTTATTGAGTAATTTATTTTCAATTTCATACAATAATGTGAGTTCTAAGTCGTTAGTATATAAATCACATGCCGTATTATATCTGTACATGCAGTGCAGCGACCAGAGATGTATTAATGTTAAGAAAGGATTCTGAAAAGTACTAAATATATAAAGAATTAAGATAACGATTTAACTAGCGGCCGTTGATTGGCTTTTTTTTAACTTTTTCAATAGAGCAATTTTATAGAGCCACATAAAGTAACAGTGAATTTTTGTGTGCGTTCTGTGATAATTGCTACCTAAGTTATGTTTACAATAAGTGATTGTACAAGGAATATACGAGGCAGCGAAAATTGGCGAAAAAATATTGGATGAGAAATTAAATTTTAGAATGACATTTCTAAAATTTAATAGCTCTGCAATATTTTTTGCATTTTTCGTCACCTCATTGCCATCCTATGTCTTGTTTAATTCCTCAGTAACTAAACTTTGAATATTACCTCTACAGTAGTGCCTAGGTAATGTACATTTTACTTTGTGACATAATATTTGTACGGGGTACATTTTTAGGCGAGGACTACTTCATTGTTTGAACTTTACTTAGCATCCTAGTGGACGAAACCGGTGGAAGCAGCTAGTCAATAATGTGAGATTAACATGACACAAACTCCATGATAATTATTACATACAAAATATTATCTGTATGGATTTATTAAAGCTATTTTGTTCCTTGTGTGGCAAAGGTGCTTCGTCCTCATGCATGGTAGTGCTTCGCCTGCAGTCAGTGATTTTCTTTACGTTACGTGTTGTTAAACACAGGGACATTCCGTATACGAGGGGTCATTGACCGACCATTAATGAGTTAATATCGGGTTAGTGAACACAGTATGATGCCCCATTTTGATAGTTTCAACGACTTACTCCTAGTCGTGTTAGGCTAGGTGTAGTCTAGACTGGGCTAGGTGTAGTCTAGACCGGTCTAGGCTAGGTCTGGGCTGTGCCTCAGCTGTGCCAAGTGCTGCTGCAACAGCCCAGCGCTGACGGCCGCGTAGTTAAACCTCTGTGAGAAATTGTGGTGTTACCATCACCGCTACTCATGTTTAAATGTGGCAACATTTTAATGAAAATTATTTTTATATTAAATTAAGAATGTTAATGAAGATAATAATATTGCCACATTAATAATATGCTATGATATGACATCCAGCACCAAGTTAATTAATGAAAAAAAAAATATCATGGCTGAAACTACATTAAAAAAAAAACATCATCAATAAGACGGAAAAATTAAATACTTTTTGAATTAAAATTGATTAAAGCAGTGACATACATTTTAAAGTATTCAATGTGTATCAGATACAAAATTAAAAAGTATTAATTTTTAGGAATATTTAAAAAATACATAATGTATTGACAAAAAATATATGATAGTAGTATCACTACATAATATTAATATTACAGTTAATAGTTATTAAAAGTACTCATCAAAATGAATGCAACTAAACACTACTAACACAAGGATCCACCTTCGAAGCGCTGAAGCAATATTTAAGCGAAAACTGTAAATGCTTAAAATATTTATTACAAATGTCTGTCAGAGTGACGTCATGTATAATAATAATCTGTTCAGTAGAACACTAAGACAGATTATCACATACAAGAAGTATACTGACTTGTATCAGGGGTCGTTAGTGTGTGTATATGTGTTAGTGCGTGTGTGCGTGTGTATGTTAGTGCGTGTGTGTGTGTGTGTGTGTGTGTCTGTGTGTCTGTGTGTGTGTGTGTGTCCGTACCTGTTGTTTCTTGTGCGCGACCTTTGCCCTCGCGGGATCCACGTCTGAGTGCGCGGCCTCTAGCCTCCTCCTCTGCTCGTTCTCGGCATCAGCTTGCTGTAAAAGTATGCGTTTTTTATTATTTTACAAACATTAATGTGAAATGTTATTAATTAGTTAATATTATATTTTGTTTTTGTGAATACACTAACCTTAAAGGCTCTCGTAAATCTAACGAGAAGCGAGAAGAAAGCGTTCGCGTCGCAGCTCCGGGGCGCCTCGCCGAAGTACTCCACACACGCGGCGAACGAGTCCTTCATAGAAAACATATAGTTTTATTATGATCAATCTGAACAGACGTATGTATATGGTAGTTAAAGAGAAATATCGATAAAATATGTATATCTTGACTTATTACGAACATGTAATTTTGCCAGCATATATGGATGTGTTTATCTCTTTCACGCAAAAATTACTAAACGGATTTTGATGAAACTTTCCAATCATGTGTCTTAGAAGTCAGGAAACAGAGATTATACATATTTTATCTCCAAGTACCACATCAAGAGCTAAATAGTATCAAGATAAATTTCCGTTACACAGACAAAAGATGGCGCTCGTATTTAGTTTAGATAAAATAGTTATAAAGGCTCTATTCATATTTATTTATTTATTTTATTAGGAAGCCAACATAATGTACAATGATCTTACAAAGTACACTACAATTATAGGCTAACTCAGCATGCTTTAAAAAAAATATATATATACAGGGTGTATGAAAAACTGTGTCAACCCTCTTAACTACGTTATCAGTATCGATAATGTAACACAATAAAACAACTTACATTTACAAACTCTTCAATAAAAATAATAAAATTAAATTTTAAATGATTATTATATGTAGAGTAACAAAATGTTCAGACGTCATCACAGCTGCTGCGCTACTAGTGACGACCTTGAAGTTACTTTCATATTATTGAAAATATCGATATTTAAAAAATCATAACAATAAATAAATATTTAATATTATTTCGATACTTATTTTGATATATCAAACATTAATATTATGTTTGATTGTAAAACACCATTTTTAACAGAAATAGATTAACGATTTATCCTAATAATACAACATATGTAGTTAATTTACCTGAACAAGTGTCAAATTATAATATTTATTATTAATAAAAGTTATTTTAAATGAAATTATTTTAATGTGAAAAGCATAACTATTTATAGCAATATTGAAAATGTCGATAGAATATTTATCGATATAACTAATTTTTACACTTTCAAATCTCTATTCGAACAAATAACAGAATAGTAATAATAACGCCGGCGGCCCGTCGCCTGCGGTCAACGGTCACGCATGCGCCGTAGCGATTATACGGTGTCTTGACCTTGTATGAGTCAGATGTTTGAAACATTCTTTCGAAAAATGTCGATTTAAAACTTACTTAGCCTATGCACTGTAACTAACTTCTGCTTGATTTTTTTTAAGTTATACTATTTTTTATAATAAGCTTACACTTATATGTATACGTGCCTTCAAGGGTTGACACAGTTTTTCATACACCCTGTATAACGAAGCAACGTATTAAATAATAAATAATATAAAATAAAGTAGAACTCTTATATTATCTGGACTTAATTCCAAGCCAATCCCCCCTCCCTCCCACCTGTGCGTGTTTGGTCTCTGCCCGTAGTCTCCTCAGCTTGTCCGCGGCGTTGTTAACGAAGTCCCTCAACACATGAGCTCCGCGCGCCTCACTCTCTCTCCGCGCCGCCTCCATACCGCGTTCTAGTTCACACACGTCTGACACCACGTTCTCCAACGACACTGGATATATAAGAGAAATGTTTGAAGGTAAATATAGTAAATATATTTCATTATCTTAAATGAAATTATTATTTTACAACTATATACTTCCGACATTTCGATTACTTTGCAGACACAGGGATCTCGGACAGAGGAGATGAGAATGTGGAGACATTAAAATTTAAATATAATAAAATAGCGTCGTAATCCCATAAATTAATAAGTTTCATCTAAATGAACATTGGCGAAAGTCTTAGATCTCATTATATTTGATTCTCATATAAATATTTAATACAATTTTGACGATAAGAGTCTTACTTCACACACAGAATATTAAGGAAATTATGTTCGCCTAATATAAGTATGATGTATAAGCTATGCCAACCTTGCGCTGCCTTGTCGATGTACAGCAGCTCGGCGTCGAAGCTCAGCAGCTCAGGGAAGTTCTGTCTGATTGTAGCCACGATGTAGTGCAGCAGAGACACCCGCTTATCCGTCGACTTGGTATCCATTAGCGTGTCGAGAGACTGCAGCTTGAAACCGTAGGCCGGGCCGCGCTTACTACTGTTCAAATAATTCCCGAACGCCAGAATTATTTCTAGAACATTCCTCAGCTTCTGCGAGGATTTGACTGAGGAGGAACCGGAGATGATCGCGTGTATCTGCGGCGTGATGAGGTGTATGTTGTCGAAGAAGTTGCCCATGTAGCTCATGATGGCTAGCTTGGCGGAGATGCGCTCGACGCGGGCTAACTGCATCAGGAACTTGTCCTCCTCGGTGAGCTGGTTGACGTTCTTCTTCTCCGCCACGTACTCCTTGTAAGCCTTCTGCTCAGCCTCAGTAGGCACCATCCGTTGTAGTATCTCCACACTCTCCAGAGGTAGCTGCTTCAAGTCCAGGTTGTGTATCGCCGCGATCACTTTCTCTACTGGCGTGTCAAGTTTTCGTCTTGATATCGCTGCAACCAATTCATAATACCATAATAATGTATCTATCTTCTATATATATAAAAAGGGATTGCTGTTCCTTAGTCTCGCTAAAACTCGAGAACAGCTGAACGGATTTATCTTATCTTAGTCTTGAAATGTACGTGGAGGTTCAGGGAAGGTATAAAAGCTGAAAAAAATTGATTCATTACTGGGAAAACCATAGAAACAGCCCTTTTCTATTTCCCATACAATTTTTTTTTTGACATTAGATTTGACAACTAACTAATATGTCAATCATTCTGTTCGATTGAAACAGGAAAAACCTGATTATTTATGGCCTCTAAGACGGAATAGAGTTCGCCCGGTCAACTATACATATATTACTAATGACGAAACTAACGCAGACGAAGTCGCGGGCAAAAACTAGTGTTTTATAGTTAACCACATAAGAGGTATAATATTTTTGTTAACAGAAAAAAGGCTTCAAAAAATTATGAAGATTTGAAAAAATTACAATATTACATGAACGGTACTTTTTTTTCATGAAATCATTATTCTTGCGATAATATCAATAAAAAACAATTAATGATATTAAACAGTCAAAAATATCAAGCATCTGCGCGTATGTCTGGATGAATTTGTATGTGTAATATAGGTATGTATAATAATATGTGTGTGTGTCCGTACCAATGTTCCTGAGCCGCGCGTGTTCCAACAGCGACACAGTGTCGGGCCTCCTGAACCTCTTGCTAGGGAAGGAGGCGAGGTCGTCGGGCTCCCGCGCGGGCCCGCAGCCCCCTATACGGAACCTCTCCTCGAACTCCGCGAAGTTGATCCTCCGCCGAGGACGCTCCTCGTCCAGCTCGTTGAAGATCGTACCGCGCACCTTCACACATTATATTAACATTTAGGAACAATTATTTACTGATTTAAGACAAAAATCTTAAGTCGTCTTCAGTTAAAATATAAATCACTTTTCTGTTCGTCAGATGTCCAGTTATTTTTGTGTATCACAATATTCAACCAATTCGGAATATAAACATGTGATTATTATAAATGTTTAAAACAGTGATAACTCCTGATATAAGAAAAGCATTAAAGTTTTTATATATTTTGTCATTCCAATTATGTAAACCCAGAGTCGAGATTAATAAACTGCTAACATAATTGTTCATTATAATGGTACAAATGAGGACAGCAGGCTTTATACAGGGTGACTGGTGAATTACTATCGATACTTGAGGACGTGATATTTGACGATCATATGTGACAAAATAAAAATTAATATAACATAAATATTAATAAACATCTAAGTAAAGTTAACCAAAAGTTATGTAATTAATTACGCATCGTGTAAACACACACACACACGCGCGCGCGGCGTGGTGTTGTATCAGCACGCCGCCGGACGCGTCCACACTTGGAACATTTGGAACGTGTCAACACTTTATTTATTTATACGGATATTTTGTCAAAAATTAAGTACCTATTTTTTTTACATAATTCGAATGAGAATCATGTACCGAGTATTCTCCTTAAATATTGATAGTAATTCACCAGTCACCCTGTATATATATTAAATAATCATATTAATGTTCAGTTCCAACCTGATTCGGTTTCAGCGCGATCCAGTTGAGTGTCGGCAGCTTGTACTTCGTGTCGACCTTCCTCTTGATGGTCATCGCGTCCGTGTGTACGGGGGGCGCCATGAGGCCGGGCGCAGGGGGCGCGGGCGGCGCGGGGGGAGGGGGCGCCACCAGCGGCGGGGGAGGAGGAGGAGGGGGCAGCGGGGCGGCGGGAGGAGGAGGGAGCGGCGCCTCGGCGGGAGGGGACGGAGGGGTCGAGTGGGGGATGACGTCACCGTTGGTTAGAGGCGCGGGCGGAGATATGTGGCCGTTGACTGTAGACGTGCCGTTACATAACGCGTGTGATGATATAGCACCCACTGGAGATATATAAAAATAATATTAGTTGCTGACTTTTGACTGTGAGAACTTTGGTATTGGGCTGGGAGAGAAATGTATGAATTATGTTATGATAAAAAATACGCTAAGCAACCGACACATACAGTGGTCACGTCATTTTAATACAATTGTGACTATACGGAATTCCGGGATAAGTTATGGCATATGTCTTTCTGATGTCTCAGTTACAGTACTCTTAAGTTTCATCAAAATACATCGCACCTCAATAACTGCACAGTGTCAATATTGCTATCATTTCTTCTGTTCAAAAGTTTATGATAATAGTTACTAGGAATACATGTGACTTTGTTGTACTACTAATATGAGTAATACATTTTCGCTGAATATTACATGTGTTTATGACTGTTTGTATAGTAATATATTATTATGAACATTATATACTAACTGGATGCTCCTCGTGGTAATGACTTGGTCAGTGACTCCAGTTCTTGTACCTTGGACTCTAACATCGACTGTCTGTTCCTTGAGTCTTGCTGGGCTCTCCTTAGAGTCGACACCTGAAATTAATTTATACTTTTTTTAATTATATAACATAAATAATAAAGGACAAGTATGTATATGAAATTAATATTTTTAAATATAAATATTTATGTACATGTTTACAAAATAATTGTGATCCAATATTACCTTATTACAACACTATACATATATTGTTTCAAGCGAACTATTAACTATAAATTAAAGTTTATACTAAGCGCATTGCAATGTATTTTTTTGCAAACAATCCCTTTCTGAATAGAGTTCAGCTATAATCTGCATATACATAACATATTACATCTGCTGTCTCCTATCATCTATATATCCCTATTTCATATGAAATAACATTTTTGAATATACTTATGTTGATGCTTACATAGTAATTGTGATCGAAAAGTATCTATTGCTTCAAGCGCATAGTTTTAATATTTAAACTACCATCAGCGTTAAGTTAATTTTACAAACAATCCCTTATCTATTATCATCTATATATATATATACACATATATTCTATATGTATGTCTGTCCCACCTCCTCCACAACCTGTCTCCGCGCCTCAGCCAGTTGATCTCTCTCGTGTCTAACTTGTGCCAGTTCAGCTTCTAACGTCGCTTGTTTAGCGATGGCTTCCCTCTCCAAGGACGCCAGCCGCTCGTGAGCCTGATGGAAACAAAATAAATACATTTGATATAAAATATATTGCGATTATTATGTATTATTATTATCAGTAAATCATTGTTAGTTGTTGGATAGCCATGAATTTAAAAGCACTTTTTCGTTAGGACATTTTCATCTCGTCTGCCCGTGATCATGATTGTTATTAAGTGATCAAAATTTCTCGCCGGGAGTATGTAGCATAAAATAGTAAAAAAAACGTGTATCCGAAAACCTTATTTTCATTTAAATGAATACTCGCGAAATCTTAGATAACATTTATGACTTGTTTCGGCGCATAACGCCTACACAATTAATTTTATATAATATATTAAATTTACTATTCTGTTTGCTCTTGATCTTTTATAATGCAACACTAGTAGTAAACTTCTTCTACCTGGCAATTTCCCAGCTAAAGCTAGGGTCTGCCCTACATGTTGTGATTAGTTTTGGCCAATTGTTTTTACGACCGGCCGCCTGCCTGACATCAACCCTCTTTTGGGAATCAGCACTAATCAGTGATGTCTATATACTCTTAGAAAGTACATATGACTCGGAAAAATCATATTGGTACTTGCCCGGGCCAGGATCGAACCTGCGCCCTCGGCAACGAGAGGCGGGCCCTTTAACCACTAGGCCACCACTGACTAGTAGTAAACTAACTTCATATAATATTTATTGTTTTAAAAGGTAAACTTTATTATTTGTCAATGGCCATTCTGTCTATTCTCTTTCCGATCGCAACGCTGTACACACCTCTTATATTAAACCAAGTTATAAAGTTTGGATTGTTTAATTTGGCACCAGATGTAAATTTGAATTGTCTAATATAAGAGCCTATTTTCTGATGCGTGTATGAGCCAGTAACTGTAGTGTATATAATGAATTCATTACATGTCCCAATTCATCCTCCAGTTCATTGACCTTCTCCAAGGCCGCCGTCTTCGTCTCACTGTCTTCCATGAGAGCCGCCACGTCGAACACGTTGTCGAGGTACGCTGATATTTGAACCTGGAAAATATATAATAAATATTATAATATATCATATAATTATTATATTTATACGAGAATTTCTGCTTATTCCACTTAATTGAGGTCATATATGTAATAAATTAGCTCCATGTCATTACTTTAAGTTAAACGCTCATATGTATGTTATAATTTTTATATTTAAACGTTTTTTTTACGTTTTAACCTAAATTTAGGCCATATGCAGGGTGACTGGTGAATTACTATCAATATTTAAGGAGAATACTCGGTACATGATTCTCATTCGAATTATGTACAAAAAAATAGGTAGTTACTTAATTTTTGACCAAATATCCGTATAAATAAATAAAGTGTGGACACGTTCCAAGTGTTCCAAGTGTGGACGCGTGCGGCGGCGTGCTGATACAACACCACGCCGCCGCACGCGTTTGTGTGTGTGTGTGTGTGTATACCTAATCTATAGGGTGTTCACACGATGCCTAATTAATTACATAACTTTTGGTTAACTTTACTTAGAAGTTTATTAATATTTATGTTATATTAATTTTTATTTTGTCATATATGATCGTCAAATATCACGTCCTCAAATATCGATAGTAATTCACCAGTCACCCTGTATATTCTGTTATTATCATCATAGGCAGACCCTGGCTGAAGCTGGGAAGTGGCCAGGAAGAAGAAGGAGAAAGATATATTATGATCATGATACAATGTTCCATATATTATTATAACCCTATTAACCTGTAAGTCCTCGCTCTCACACAGCCTCAGCCTCTCCAAGTAGTCGTCTAGTTTGAGCGCCGTGAACTCGTACTGGAGATGCACGCGGAAGTTCATGTCTTCTACGGAATGAACTATTATATTGACGAACTGCATACACGCCACCTGGAACCATATGTATTACAATATAAAGTACTTTATGGAAATAAAAACCTTAATTTGCGAACGTTAAAGTCGAAAATATGATATTTTTAATATGTACTAGTCTTCAATGTTACATCTGATTACATATCTTCAAATTAACTATGTAAGCACAGATGTCGGTACTCTTCGAAGATATTGATTCTTTTAATGATTCCGTTCAAATATATAGCTATAGGAAAATGTAATTAATAGTTGTATTGTATAATTAGTATAGGGCAAACTAGTGGAAGATAGTTATCTTCTAAGTAATAAATAATAGCCCTATCTTTTTGGGCTACATACCTTATATCTCTTAGTTGTAAGATATATAGTCCAATAAACATAGGATATTGAGTTTGTGGCTGATGCAGATGACTCACCATGAATTCAATATGGAAGCTGTCATAGTTCATGAAGTACTCCATGAGTGTGTGGAACCTTCGCGGTTCTCCGACTACCTCCTTGAAGTTATCGAAGGCAGAGAGGATGATCTGATGACCGCCCTTCACCAGGCAGATAGCCGCTAACAGTTCCAATACTAGCGCCTTCGTTCTCAGCGAATGATGTACTAGGGATAGGGCTATGCTGTTGATAGCTTCGCGATGTTGTATCACCATGTTGAAGCCATACTGGAAACAGGAAGAAATGGTTATTGGTTGTTGGAATTAAGAGACAAAATAGATATAAATAGGTATAAATTTTGTCAGTTTATAAGTATTTTTGATGGCTGAAAGACATCACAAGTTGGCTGATCTGTTTTAAACTATGACCAGAAATGATGAGTAGTGTTTATTTTAAACGCGAATCTTGTTGATGGATTATCTAGGGCAGTCATTATGTATGTCAAAAGACCACCTGCCTCCAATTTAAAAAACACTTCTTTGTGTGTTATCCAAGATCTTATTAATCTATTGCTGGGCTTAGAATGTTGAGGATTAAGAAAACTAACTAGTTCACGATTTATTTCCGAGAGAGTACAATAAGACACACTGATTTACATATGCAATGATTCGACGTTTATACATGATTTATATCTAAGAATATGAGATAGACATGTGAAACATTTTAGACATAGAATATGTAACTTAGTAACTGTTTACTTAAATACCTATGGCACAAATCTAACCCAATAGCTAGCCCACGTCTCTCCTTACCTTATTATTCATAATGGCCCTCATACACATGATGCACACATGTATATCGTCAGTAGAGGCGCCCATATTGAGTCTCGCGGCGTGTCTGGTCCTCCGCCTGGCCGCGGCCGGGGACCCCGCCCCCGGGCCTTCGCCCTCCGAGTCCGCGGACCTCGCTCTCCTTCGCCATGTGGATCCCGCACCCAGCTCCGGACCACTGCACTCTGATGTCGTCGTATTCGCTGCGAAAACATTTAAACCAACAATTAATATAATTTTTTTTATTGGTAAAACCTATTTGTACCAGTTTATCTAAAAGGTGGCAAATGAGAAGACGGCCTACCTGATAGAGATAGTACCGTCACCCAAGAACATCCAAAATGTTCCGTTTGTAACGTAAGTTTAAACAAGACATTACTTCTAACCATCTCAAATTAAGAGTGAAAAAGAATTATTTTCTCTTCTTTACAATTTCTATGACACTTTTTTCCTTTCCCAATAGGTATGACAGTGTCGTCATAGTAATACCTTGGTTGATGGCGTCCGTGGAGTGGCTCCTCGCGAGTGCTATCCTCTGTTCGTGCCTCATCATGCTCAGTCTGAAGCTGAGGTAGTCGATCAACACGTCCAGACCTTGGTTCTGATCGTTCAAGAACTCACGGACCCATCTACGGAACACGAACGTACCAAACGTTATGAAATGTGTGTATATTAAAAGATAGATTTTCGCGAGTACTCATTTAAATGAAACTAATATTTTCGGATTTTACTACGCGTTTTTATTTTTGATTACAAACTACACACTAGTGGCACACTCACATCTCGTCTGCCCGTGATCACGGTTGCTGAAAAGTTGCCGAAACGTCGGGAGTATGTAGTTTGTAATCAAAAATAAAAACGCGAAGTAAAATCCGAAAATATTAGTTTCATTTAGATGTAACTCTTTGAGGTGAAAAATTTTCTTTATTTATTCTTCTACCTTTGTATGATGAGAGTTTCGTTTGAGTAGATTCATGTTTAATATAATATTTGTAAGACGATGTCCTCTCGTCGTTTTACGAAAGGGATTGACGCAATAGTATTATCAATATAAGTGAATGTAATACTCAAATAGTTAGTTAGTGATGTGCTGGATTACAGTATTTGTAACCTTTGTTCATTTTTGATTGTTACTAAATAATAAGATAGAAAATTTGACACAAACCACCCATAAAAGCATAAATATCTCGTGACAAGAAAGGAGTAAAGTATTTTTTGACAATCGACAAATGTCCGTATCCCAGCAAATCACTATTATTTGTATATACCAATGAATACTCACTCGATATGATTAGTTCGCAGTGATATTTCCAAGTCCCTTAGGACCTGCGTCGACGTGGAGTCACCGACCATCTTTCTCTTCTGTAATTATCGATGTGTTAATATATTGTAATAGCGAGGTGTTCATATGTACACTAAACACGCTAACGAGAATACCTTCGAAATGGAAGCGACAACACTAACTTCCTGTATGAAAATTATGTCTCAATTAGGGACGAATTATTGTGATTATTGTCATTATATGATAGCTTGTATGAGAATAACACCATTCTATATATACATATATATAAATATATATATTTATTTATGGCCTGTAGTGTATATAAGTTCATTACTCCCAGATAGAACCTTGTTGAATACATTTCTATCCATATAATATTTAAAAAGAAACACATGAAAACTTCATTCAATAAATCTTACAAAGTTATAGTTTATTTTTATCACTCTGTATAATTTTCTAATCTAAACTATAAATAAATATTTAATATAGTAATCAGTGTAGTTTTCATCAACTTTTTGAATATATGTGTATATTTGATCACGTCTTCACAAAACAAACATTCTTTCCATACGCCATCTGATTACGATGTAAGAGCCACACCATACTATTCTAAGATTAATATTTGCATGAAATCCATTAATATATGGTCCAGATAGGTATTAATTACGTATATGGTCTTAAATGATATACATACATAATACATATATAGCAGTGTGAAATCTATAGTCTCTGGCATGACGTTATAAAAATAAAACTTTCATACTTTATTCCTTTAGGAACTACAAGTAATTTTTGGATTTATTTTGAGCCATATACGGTTATAATATAGCTTTTACCAAAGAGGGTGCTGTGGCCCTAAAGGGGGACAGTTAAAGACCCAGAAAAAAGGGGGACTTTGTGCGGAATCCTGGGGGATGACTTGTAGTTTTATTTAGCTAACAAAAGTTAGAGTTATTTTTCAGTAGATGAAAAAATGAAGTATTATAGTATTATAGTAGTATAAAAAATAATTTATTCTAAAAGTGAACAGTAAACTAAATAAGTTTAGGAATCCCTGTTCTAATATAATGTTCATCAGTGGAAGGTTTCATCATTTTCCGTTCGGTAATTTATGTGTCAAATAAAACTTTCGAATTATAATATTAGTGAGTAAATTCTAAATTAATATCTTCATAGTTTGAATTATCATGAATATTATAACCAAGAATTATTTTCAATTGTCACTATAATCACTATGTTTTCGTATTTAACTGTAATATGTACATACATTTATTAACATTAAGATTCCAATCTAAGACGACGCGACATCATTGATTATATGTACTGCAGTATACGTATTACGTGCAGACGGCAGGTAAGACTGTCATATATTTGTTATATTTGAAACATATCTCATTTAAATTTCATTACTTGCTCCTAACGACACAAGACAAAATGTTTCTGAGACTTTTAATCGTGTCTGAGAGGTCTACGCTTTTAAGTTTTCATCGTTACCATATACGTAGTTTCTGTTTCTCATTAAGTAAGTTAGATGAATACTATTAATCCTATGAATGGAACTGTTAGCGCCTCATATGTAGTAATCATACAGACACATACATGAACCAGTTCAAATCTAATCCAACTTATCGAATGGCATCGTTCTGTTTGCGGTCGGATATTGTACGATTGTATCCGACAGACGATGTCTTAATCTAAGCTATCTATACATTATTTATACCACTAAGTTATTAGAACTTTGTTTTATATAAAATTTTATAACATATCCTTACTCATGACACTTTGTCCAACAATTGTCATGACGCACACTTCCCACGGACCATCATTAATAGGTATTGACTCATCACGAAGACATTCGTTACAGTCGGGAATGTTCTGACAGAAATTTTATAATAAATATCTTTATGGTTTTCAACTGAAGGGAATTCAGTGAAGTCAATCGACACCGCTACAAGAACTGAACGGTACGCGGTTAAGGTGTTAGTGACGGTCGAGTGGTTCGCACTAGAAGAGCAGACATACAAATGTATACGCAATATATATTTGTATAAGTGTATGTATAATGTTCTAGAGGGCGCGGTCCTGAGATCAAACATTCAGACACATGAAGCGAAGGGTTCTCATCTCTCAAATTTTTAATAAGCTCCATTCATTCCATTCCTGCCTTTGATGACTAACTCAGAATACGTCACCGAAAACGGTGTATTTCGTACAAATTAGTCGCTATTTTATTCGTTGGGAACTTTTTAGAATTAGTATCCTTCAAAAAGTGATATTAGTCAAAACAGTATGAGTAGCGTAGATGAGTAGAAAAATTGCGATGAGTTTCAATAGGGAATTGTCAGAAATGCGAAATTGTGACTACACAAATGTAGCCCTAGGACCCAGTATTGGACCATTGCATCTTCTACGAACAACACGAGGATATCTATCTGTCTTTATTCTCTTAAGTAAAAACACATTTAAGTAGAAAACTATAACTCTTAAGTAGAAAAATAGTAAACATTAGTTGCTAGTTTTCGTTCAACTCACCCTGTGACTCCTGGAGGCCTTAGGGTCGAGGTAGGTCCTCAGTTTGTTCAGATAGTGGGCGGGCGAGTCCTTGGCTTGCACCATGTCCTGGTCGCATATAATCTCCCATTTCTTTTCCAAGTCATAGTTCCGCAGCAGCTTAGCCTTGTCTGGAGGCAGGTCCATAGACGCCTGGAACAGTAATACATTTTTATCAATAATAATCTCAGCACTTAAGGCTTACAACAGTTTATAAATCTATTTTTCTTTAAGGTGTAAAAATTAATATTCCGTTCACAGACTTGGAAAACATATTTATAAAAAAATTTGTATACGTAAATTCTGTCAGTTAATATCTATTCGGTCTATTCTTCTATAAATAAATCTTTCCTTCATTCTATGCCATCTTTTATAAAAGAAATGTGCTACATGTGTTCATAAAGCAAAAGCCAGTCTCCTCTTTTATAAATTCGCTAACTCGGATATCAGAGGTATATTAAACAATATGCTAGTTTTATATCACAATTAATTAAATATAATAATTTTTTTGTTAAGTTACATAATAATACACAATTATAACAAAGATTTTCACATTTAAACGAACTATAACTTTAACATATAATTTAGTTGAAAACACTTTTATCCCTTCCCATGATCATGATCACTGAAGCAACGTAAGGTTAAGAAAAATATAAAAAAAAACAAGTAACAAACATCACTCAAACCGCGGATTAAATGGTGATTTTAATAGCAAATGTTATTTTAATAATAAATGATAAAAAACATATTAATATGATCGGTCGAGATCAGGGCGAATCATATCTGAATGGACCAAGCCTGGCATTGGACCAGTTTAGTTGCTAACGGTACAAAAACATAATGCTAGGGTTACACATACATTTAAACAAACCAACGAATTAATACGAACAAATATCTATTATGAAAAAAAATGCAATTATGTTTTTATTTTGCATACAATCACGATATAACGATCATCTCTTAGTAATACTGGCTTGCTTATAAAAACAATGGTTCTGAATTATTTATTTGTATATTATGCTAAACCTACCTAGTTCTCATTCTTATCGGACTGGTTTATACTGACTCATTCACGTCGACCTTGAATTGTATCATAAAAACTGCCTTTAGATAGAAATCGAACAATTCTATAGTATTTTTTGCAACTTACTGCAATAAATCCCTACTAATATTATAAATGCGAAAGTAACTCTGACTGTCTGTCTGTCTGTTGCGCTTTCACGCCTAAATCACTTAACTGATTTTAATGAAATTTGGTATAGAGATAGTCTTGACCATGAGAAAGAACATAGGATAGTTTTTATCCCAGAATTTTGAAAGGTTCTCTTGGAAACGCGATATAACCGAACTCCACGCGGGCGAAGCTGCGGGCGGAAAGCTAGCATGTATATAATTTGTTGGTGAAAAATCAAGTGTCAGTATAAACGCGATAAGGGATCACTTTACATTCCTCGTAATATTCTTAATATAAAACTCATGTTAAATATATGAGATTTAAAGATATGAACGTTCCCTTGAGAAAATATGTTTATGCTTATCTCACTCATTTACTGACTCATCAGGAATAATAATGACATATAATTATTTATATTAGATAATATATTACTTGAATAGATAGCTACCTACTATTTACGAACCGTACTAAGAAGAACATGTCTGAACTGTACTATGTAGTATTACAGTAATAAAATAAAAGGTGCGTATGTATGTAAACAAATAATTTTACGTAGGCGTATAAATTGAGAAATTATTATCGATGTATTATAAAACTATGTCAAATAATTATTAAGATAATGAGGTCTAAGATTTTCGCGAGGACGCATTTAAATGAAACTAATATTTTCGAATTTATACTTCGCGTTTTTATTTTTGATTATGGTTATTATTTTTGATTATTTAACCGTGATCACGGTTGCTGAAAAGTAGCCGAAACGTCGGGAGTATGTAGTTTATAATCAAAAATAAAAACGCGAAGTAAAAATCCGAAAATATTCGTTTCATTTTACTTAGTAAGATATTTAAATGTAAGGAGGGCCGCATCAACCCTAGGTAGCAGCGTCTCGAATGGAACCTGTCCATCTCAGCGCTAAGCGATCTAGCATTAGATAAGACTAATGAGATAAAATAGGCTTTGTCAATAACAAATTATAGTAACCGTATCAGAGATTGATGGTGAAGTTGGAGCACATATAAAGAGGCGTATATATATACATATATGTAAAGTATATTTAATACGTCGTGTATATCACAACTTAACAACTATGAGATACAAAAAACTACCTATAGCATATATGTTGACTAAAGCTTTGAAAATATAGTCAAATTCAAAGAAATTATTGAAGTTAAAATTTCTATATAAATATTTGTTTATCATTATAATAAGGTGTAAAACTTAAGTGTGTTGTTTAATTTAGACGCAACATCCGCATCCGCTGTCTAAATGGCGGGAAGTCGTAGGAAATAATAATTGCGATACTAAGAAAGCTGCTGAACAAATATATTGTATAGTAATCATTATAATCATGTAACATAGAAAGTTATTGGACGTTAAGATTACATAGAGTGAGTCGTAAATCTATTAACGAGACAAATTGTGATCCGTCGAGATTTCAAGCATAAATTAACTGTATGAGAACTAACAGTCGTTGGTCGTTATCAAGTAATTGAAAATGGATTTTATTGATATTGTATTAAGTGCTATTTTACTCTAAGCTTGTCCTCCACTCAATAGTGATGATGTCGCAGATGTCCGCAGAGATTGCTTAAGATTGCTAGTTCAATTACAGAATACATTGTATGAAGGAATGGCAATAGTTTGAATTAAAATATATACGAAAATGAACTTAATTGAATGGTAATAAAGACTGTATTGTAATTATTGGTAATGGCTTATAAATATACAGGGTGACTGGTGAATTACTATCGATACTTGAGGACGTGATATTTGACGATCATATATGACAAAAATTTGGTCAAAAATTAAGTACCTATTTTTTTTACATAATTCGAATGAGAATCATGTACCGAGTATTCTCCTTAAATATTGATAGTAATTCACCAGTCACCCTGTATAAAATAATAATTTACTTTATTGAAGCCATAAGATTGCTTGTAAGTTGTAAGCAATTCAGTTTTGATCAAAACACCAAGTAAAGTTTTTGATAAACATATTTTCTTTAGTATTAAATAAATTGTATGAACAAACTTAATGTTTAAACGGTAAATAAAATCTAACACGTTTTTTGTGTGGTATCATTGACTTGTAATCGAGAGATTGTTTTTATAACATATTGAAGCACATGTGATCGATAGAAAAACAACTTTGTATTGAGTTGAATGTACTTTACTAACATTAGAGTAAATGTCCTATCTCTCAACACCTACGCCTTATTCTACAATAATGACATGAGAACACACTCTAACAAAAAAAATGGTTCCCTACTAATATTATAAATGCGAAAGTAACTCTGTCTGTATGTCTGTCTGTTACGCTTTCACGCCTAAACCACTGAATTGATTTTAATGAATATTGGAACAGAGATAGAGTTGACTTTGAGAAAGAACATAGGATAGTTTTTATCTCAGACTTTTGAAAGGTTCTCTTGGAAACGCGATATAACCGAACTCTACGCGGGTGAAGCTGCGGGCGGAAAGCTAGTTGTTTATATACACACAACATTTTCATATATAGTATTCTCCTCAATGTGTAAGCGACTTAACTGACAGTACTTATATAAGGTTGTTAAAATGTTCCACGAAGAATAATGACGGGAAGACTGAAAAGATGGGGGAGACAAGGATTTATTACTAATAGACTAACGATCATACGAGAGGGTGCGGTGTGAGGACAAACAAATAGTCATTAAACAACTACTCACTACTGTAGTAGTCACTAAATGACTTCTATAACAACTAATTCAGACTACCACTGTATAAGATCTACTTATTTCCGAACAAAACTTCTATTAACTTTTATTAAAGTGTTTACAGAAATTTTATCGTAAATATATGAAACTTGTGTCAGTATAATGATAAACGAGTTAAAAATTAAGTAAAAAAAATGTGAATATTTAATAATTCTTAAGGCAAGTTATTACGTTTCATATAAGAATAAAGCTTCGACGAATGTTGACTCAGGTATCTACTAATAAAACAAATTTAAGTCAATTTAAACAATAAGCTGCGAATGACTTTTTCACTGATGACTTATCTTATTCCTGTTATTATTATTTAAAAAGAAGAAAAATGACTTCACCACCGACAATTTAAAATATGATAAAAATATAGATTATATTACAAAGCCATCAATCAAATTACTTCAAGAAATTAAATGCAAAAAAATATATATTGTAAAAGTGTTTTTAGATGATGAATGCATAGATTGATTGTTATTCTTTGAAATAAAATGTACTGAAAATTAATATTTCATTTTTAATCTACATACAAATTGACTGAAAATAATAAAAATCTTTGTAAATCTATTCAAAGAAATATATATAAGACTTATCTGTTATAGCTTATCAAGTTTGCTATTCACTCAATACGAAGCTAAAACTATTTCGGTTGAAAGATTATGAACAAAAAACTGTAAACGCTAGGTATTCAGTAATGTATGACCTGTATTAAGGATAATGCACAGTTCGCAGTCGAAAGTTAAGGTCGCCCGTACAGTTTATTGTTACATCGAACACACTAACGAACGCGTTTAGAAAGTCTTTATAGTATGCGATTACATTTACTTATTCTTACTTATACTTTAAATTATACCAATATACTTAATATGTAGTAAACTTTAAATAAAAAAAATACAATGATGACTAGAATATTTAAAAAGCCTGAATTTTTGTTCTTCATTACACTAATTTAAATATACACAATGTGTGTTAAAAACTAATTATTTTTATATCTTACAAATTAATCAAACTATGTACAACAGAATGACTCACTTAAAAGTGTATAATTATTTTAATGTTGATACATTATTATAACTTCCTTGTATACTAAAAATTACTTCCTTATATATACATATATTGTATCACGGAAAAAATCCCCTAAAAATATTATTTAATTTAAAAATTATTTGAAATATGAAAAAAGCGATAGTTGTGTAATTTAACACAGTCAATGTGGAGAAGAATGACACTAGGCTTTATTGTCATATA